CCTTTCTCTATTTTATACTCTTGTAGAACTATTTATTTTCATCCCCCCCCTGTTCAATTTTAATTTTGTGTAATTAAAATTTGTCTTTTAGTCACGTTCCAACTTTCCCTCCTCATTTACTTTATTAAGTGCGTCTTTGTATTCGTTTATATTTAATATTGCCAACGAATACCTTTGAAAAAATGTTTGACTGAAAGGTACCTTGGTATGACGTCCATTTTGTTTAAAATTTTTATATATATATATATATATATATATATACATTAAGAAATGGACAAAGTCTGACAATTTATTAAAAATTTACGAATATTTTCTATGAAAATTTTCATGGGACATTCAGGCCAGTAAATTCAATATTTAATACTGTTTATTATAAACAGAGCATTTATTAAATAGTTGATAGTTGTGTCTAAGAATGTTGAAATAAAAAATGTCTTTATTATATATATATATATATATATATTCAATATTTACATTATATAATTTTTTTCCTATTCGGTCAATTTTTTCTCAAAAATTTAAAACAAAGTATAATATTTTTTCTGTTAAATGTTGTGTGGACACCAAAACGTTTTATGAATTTTTTTCTTTTTCATTTAATCTATGTTGGAACAAACAACATATTTTCATTTAATATATATTTTATATATATATTTATATATATATATATATATATATATATATATAAGTAAAAATTATCAATTTTACACTTTTAGATTCTATTTCATTTTATTATTTTTATTTCAGATAAGCGTATAAATCCATATATAAATATATATATATATATATATATGTTTGTATATATATATATATAAATATATATTATAATATATATATATATATATATATAAATATATATATATATATATATATATATATATATATATATATATATATATATATATATATATATATTATATATATATATATATATATATATATATATATATATATATATATATATATATATATATATATATATATATATATATATATATATATATATATATACAGATATGCAAAAAATTGTTGCTATTTTATATTTTTAATTTCACATATGTGCATTGTTTGTTTTTGATTTTGTTGAATGCACAATATAATAGGGTCAGTTGGGCACTGTCAGTGAGAAAAAGAGCACCATGACGCAATTCACTCTGCCAGAAATTTGTAAATGGCACATGCTGTACTGCTTGGCATTCATGGTTGAAGTTCCAATATGAAGATTTCAGCACATTTGGATATCAATCTTGTTACAGTGCAAAGGATTTGGAAATAGTTGGATCAGTCTAATGAAGAATATGGAAGAGTTTGGAGTGATAACTAATGATGGTGATGTTATGCCTCTATTCATCTTCCCACAAGATGTACATCAAGTGCCTTGAGGAGGTAATGCTGCCCTGGGTCAAGCAGGTGGCTGCTAGAAAGACTCTTTGTCTAGCAACAGGTCTCTGCACCATGCCACACAAGCAGAAGAGCCCAGTCATGGCTGTCAGACAATTTCTGTGATCACATCACCCCTTACATCTACCCACCTAACTCCCCAGACTACAACTCCTTTGATCATTATGTCTGGGGTACAGATGATTGAGAGACTAACAAAACTCCCTGTAACACCAAAGATGGACTGAGGCAAGGATTATAGCAGCATTCACCAACTTAAACAAGGAGACTATTCAGAAGTGTTGTAGAAGATTCTGAAGTCGCCTGGAGGCTGTGGTTGAAGCCAATGGTGATTTTACTGAATGAATTTACTCTTTACTATTTTAAGATATTTTTGTTTCATTTTGGTAAATATATCTGTTAAAATAAGATGTCAGTGTTATTTTTATTTTTGCATTATTTAGATGACAATTTATCCATTATTTTGATGTTGCATTGAGCATCTAAACTCCTGAATTTTGTAGATGAACCTTTTTGCAGTTGTCAGTAGGTTTCAAACTGGGTTTACTGGGACAGAAATTTTTCAGTCCTGATTGGTGGCCAATGAAAATTCTTGTTTATTTTTTTTTATTTCATTTTTCATTGGTTAAGAACATCCTTCTACTTTCCAGAGAATATTTCTGCATAAATCATTGTAGTAATGTACAGCAGCAGTGTTTTGAGATTAGGGGAAATAACTCTCCCAGCAACTACAGGGATAATAGACAGAGAGGTAAAATGACAAGAGGTAAGAAAAATAACACTCCCATGAAAACCACTGTAAAAATACCTACAGGACTGATTTCACAAGACACCATGTCTTGCCAACTGCTGGTTTCTCCTTTGCTTTTATTGGCATGAGGCATCTTACAAAGACCCTGATATTGAGCTGTTGCAAAGAAAAATGTATCTAGATATGCCAAACTGTCCTGCTGCTAACAGGAAAAACCCAGATTTGGTAAACATTTCCATCTGTGATCTGAGACCTCTTTTACATCTGTACTGATGTGTGTTCATCATAATTTTACAGTGTTTTCTGAGCACGTTTGATTCAACATCAGTAACAGCAATAAATTAACAATAAAAATATAAAAAAAAAACCCAAGTCAAATACTAGATTTAACTGAATACTGTTAAACTATATTACAGAAAACTACTACATAGTAACCAGAAACTAGACAAAAATTATAAGAACTCCAATTTGTAGATTCAGGTCACCTATCAACAAAAACAAACTTATCATTTACTACAAAAAACTAAAATGTTTTAACACAATCATGACCAATGATGTTGTTTCTGAATTCCCTTGTAGGACATATTATTATTGTTGTTATTATTAATAAAAATTAAAGCAGCACATACATTGGTTACACAACTGCTACATTATTGTGCTGGTTAACATGTCATTTATAAGCTATTAACTTAATTAAATCATATATAAACAATAAACCCAACAACCAAACACAGGAAATCTGAAAAATATCAATGATACAAAAGTAATATACCGTAATAAGTAGAAAAAGGATAATGACTCATTGCACTTTCTTGGACTAACGTTTTCGGCTGATGTGAAGTGGAAAGATTATATTGAATTAATTACTAATTCTTTGGCTATGAAACATGGTTCACTATGTTGTGCTAGAAATTTTTCTTGCCAGAATCTATCTTGCATATTTATAAGTCTTCCATTAGTTTTTGCTTTGAATATTCCTGTCACATTTGGTTTGGTGCTCCTGAAATATATTTAGAGATTATTGATAAAATACAAAAAGGTTTCTGCAATGTTATAGGTCCTGACATGGCATCTCATCTTCAGTACCTTTCTCACTGATATAACATAGCCTCCCTGTGCCTTTTCTATAAATAGATTCATAGTAATTGTTCTGATAAACTTTCTGCTATAGTACCTAAAATTTATGAATTTAAGTGCATTACTAGATTGGCAACAATGTTTCATCATTTTACAGTTGAAACGGATAGATGCAGCTGTAAGTTCTATGCTAACAGTTTCTTCTATAACACTTCTTGCATGTGGAACTCTCCTCTGGTTTCATGCTTCCCAATCAACTTTGATCTACAAAATGTAAAGATATCATGCCATTTTCCTAACACATAGTTTTGTCTTTCTTTTAGTCAAAGTGATATCACCAAGGAGAACATAAGTTTTCTCCAGCAAAACACGTCTTTAATAATAATTTTTCACTGTCTCTCATCGTTTTCATTTTTGTTTTAGATACTATTATACATCATATAAACAAACCAAATCATATTATATATATATATATATATATATATATATATATATATATATATATATATATATATATATATATATATATATATGAAAATATATATTAAAATAGGAAAGGAACTGGTTAGGTAAATAATACAAATTTCCTTAGTATTTTAGTTATTATTTTTTAAAAATAGTGCTCGATACAAAAGTAGAGCATAAATAAATTATTTATTTAAAAAATGATTTTTTTTTTTTGAAAGATATCTCATGTTTTTTTCTTTTTTGAAACATGAGACCTCTTATGTTTTTGTTTTAAATCATATTTTTTAATAAATAATTATATATATATATATATATATATATATATATATATATATATATATATATATATATATATTTTTTAAGATTTTAATCACATATATATATATATATATATATATATATATATATATGTATAATGATTGCATTTTTTGTGAAATGTTTAGAAAGACAGGCTGTGGTTAAAACATGTGATGAGGAAAAATGAGGAGAAAAAAAAATGGAATATATAATTTAAAATATTATTAAATAAAAAGAAATGAAAAAAGGGAAGGAACTATATATATATATATATATATATATATATATATATATATATGATAGTTGTATATTTAGGCAGCATCCTTCGTTTATGCATGTTTCATTAAAAATGACAGACAAGGGACTACAGTTAAGCTTTTTATTTAATTTTTCTTGTGTTTGAACAAGATCTTTCTTTTCTGGACAAAGAGTGTGTAAAAACTAGCAAAATGTTTTATAGTTCCAAGCGTTTTCGCTATACCTTTAGCCATTATCAAGGATGATTCAATTTTTCAGCTCACTTGAGTGCGTGCATTATGTGTATGTCTTAGTGTGTTGTAGAGCTGTTTTTAATTTCTGAATACGGTTAGCACATTGTGGCCTTGTTCATAGTTAATATTGTCAAGAGTTGGATCTTTCTTTTTTATTATTAAAGCTTCCATTATTTTTAGTCTTTTTTACAAGTGGATGAAGTTATTATATTTGTGTTTTCTGCAAGTATGTTTCAAATGGAGTCTGGTAAGTTTGTGTGCGTGTTTAAATGGGTTCTAATGGAGCTAAAAGTATAGCCAAAAGCACTCGGAACTATAAAAAATTTGGACAGTTTGTAGACACCCTTTGTCCAGAAAAGAAAGCCCTTGTTTGAATACAAAAAAAAATTAAATAAAAAGTCTAACCTTAGTACCTTGTTTGTCGTTTTTAATGAAATCTATGTATATTTATATACTAATGTCTGTTCATATTCTTGAGTAAATAAAATGTTTTTTTACATTGTTTACTTGTGCAGGGAGTCAACCAAAGCTAGCAGTGAGCGGTTACTTACAAGAATGGAGAAGTTGGCGAGGAGAAAAAGCTCAGTCAATAGCTGAACTCTTCGATTGCCTGAAGACGTGTGGAAGAGAGGACATTGTTTATGAGATAGCAAACCAGTTGCATATTGAAGGTGAGTATTTTTGCCTATAGGTAAGAACCAGGCACCATTCCTCAAACACCACCTGAAATCGAAGCACTTTTGTATTTCACTGAATAGCAATGTGGAAATATTTCTTTTTAATATTATTTCTTTCCATACCTGACAAAAATTTCTTATCTGATGCAAGACTTCAAAATATCATCTTTTAGGTTTATGATTATACATGATATGTGTAAAAGAAATTCAATTTTTGGGTTTCATTTTTGTGATGAGTACTTTTAGTATTTTGAACTATTTTTCTCATCTTGGTTACTATTGATGTTACGGACACAATGTTTCAGTCACTTTCTGTTTGGCCTTCATCAATAGCCCATTTTTTTTTTACTATACGGAATACCTGTTGGTTATTGCATTATTTGGTTCTTGCTGAATCATTGCTTCACTATCTAGTGTAGGAAGTGAACTCACAATCACAATATAACAGTAACACATGTCTACCAATTACTATATCACATTGAAGGATGTCACTTTGATGCTGTGTAATCGCTAGTAAGCTGGTCTTGCTAGGTCAATTACAATTGAATAGTGAGTTTGATCCTTATTGGGTATTCCATACTTTCTTCCTTGTGCCACATCTAAACTATGCGTAGAAAATCACTACAAGGACATTAGGGGTAAATTTTTTACCGATAGTGGCATGGGCCTTACATATTAAAATGAAGAGTTGATTTACCAACAGCAAGAAGATTAATGGAGAATGATAATGACAAGGAAACACACAGGTCATGTTAACAAAACAAGATAAGAAATTTATTCATGAATTTACACACTTGAAGTAGTGTCAGGGGTTTGTTCCATGAAAATAAATCAGAAATTTTAATGAATTGTCAAGAAATGGAAATGTTTGTACAACAGATTAAATGATCTGACACAAATTCATATTCAAAAATGTTCGAAACAAAGGTAAGAAAGTTCGTTGCTCACCAAAGTGATATATGGCTTACATACATTCAAAAGTAGACAAAAAGAGATAATTTCAAATAATTATCTTTCTTGGATTGTTGAGAGAAAATTTTAGTGGGATATCAACACCATATTGGACATTTAATGCCAAATTTTAATTTTCCTAGGAGCATTATTAATTTCTTTTACAAAAATGTATTGCTGGTAATATTTGTGTTTTTGTAAAAATGTATTACTCTTACTTTTACTATAAAAATCTATTTTTACATTTTCATAGTGTTTTGACGTTAATTTGATGGTTAACTATTTGCCCATAGCTGGGAACCTAAGAGGTGCTACCACCCTGGCTTAAGGTGGACCTGGGAATAACAGCATTAAGAGGTGGTTCCTCGCTCCTCAAAACCTCCTGATCAGAGTCACTACAGAGGGGGACATAATTTTGAGGTTTAAACTGGGTTTACTGGCCACAAATTAGCCCAGCCTCCTTGGTATTTCCTCTTTTGAGGATACTTCAGGTGCCCAGAAATAATCCCAGAAGAGGTACTACCTGGTGTATAGCCTACTGGGGCTTGATCTAATATTAATCTTCAACATCTAGCATCATAGGTCAGCCGCAGTCAAGATTATGAATTATAAACTTCATGGTTATTTCTCATAGCTGCATAGAATACCCTGTGCTACGACTAAATACAGTTTTCAATTCAGAGTTGTTCTCCTACACTGGTTGCCAATCATAGTTAGAGAGTTGTTTCTGCCTTGTTATTTAATCCATAGATAGGAGAAAAAGGTATCTTTCCCAATATCTGAATATAACAAACTTGGTATCTGTCTATATTTCTGAGATGAGGTATTATGTACTATTTACATTATTCAGACTATTGTCCTCATCTTTGTCGCCATGTTTATCACATATTTTGGTCCTCGAGGACACATGGCACAGTGGATAAAGGCGTTAGTTAGATCTAGTGACAGGACCCAAAGAGTGTGAGTTCAATACCTGGTTAAGGCGGTGGAGAACTTTGAGAGAGGAATTAACAGCAGATAACTGACATCCATTAGACATGGCACGTGGAACTAGAACAGTTTACCGCAGCAAACAAAATGAAGAGTTCAGTTCGACATTCCAACCACCTGAAGAAGGCTGGAGTGTACAACGGCCGAAACGTTGTAATAAACATGGCAACAAAGATGAGGACAATAGTACGAATAATGTAAATAGTGAACAAACTTGGTATAATTATTTCTTTTTCTGAGCCACTAGTAACAGAAAACAGAACAAAATATAACAAATTAAATCTTGTCTGTGTTAGCAATGAAAATAGAATATCCTTTTTCTTCTAATATTTCCATTTGCAATGATGACAATTATATCATTATTAATAAAATTTTGATAATTAATTAATGAATGAAAGAACTAACTTTATACATCTTTGAAAGGCAATATTATTTTCCAAACAATCTGATATATATATATATATATATATATATATATATATATACACATTAATTAATTAATGAAAAGAACTAACTTTATACATCTTTGAAATATATATATATTATTTTTATAAGTATAAATATATATATATATATATATATATATATATATATATATATATATATACATATATATATATATATATATATATATATATATATATATATATATATACATATATATATATATATATATATATATATATATATATATATATATATATATATATATATATATATATATACATATATATATATATATATATATATATATATATATATATATATATATATATATATAAAAAAATTAAAACAGAGGTGGTTTGATTAAAAATTGGTGTCTTATTTGTGCAATATTTGTGTTTTTGATGACAACTGTTTGCATTTGTTATATGACATCTGTTGCAGAGTGTCCCCTTTCTGGACGGCTGAGTAGGGATTTTAAACTTCCTTGTAAGTTATCTAAAATCTTTCTGAATACTTGCAAACGCCTTAGTTGCTCTTATGAAATATGTGTCCTTGATCAATCAAGAGAAGCCTGTAGTTAGGCTTTTCTCAAATTATTTTTTGATAAAATACATACATACATATATATATATATATATATATATATATATATATATATATATATATATATATATATATATATTTCTGTGTATATTTCTGAGATGATGTATTATGTACACTATTTACATTATTCGGACTATTATTCTCATCTTTGTTGCCACATTTATCACAACGTTTCAGTCATTGTACACTCCAGCCTTCTTTAGGTGGTTGGAATGTCGAACTGAACCCTTGAACTCACAACTCTTTATCAAGGATAAAGGTTTTGGTTAGATCCAGTGACAGGACCCAAAGAGTCACGAGTTCAATACCTGGTTAAGGCAGTAGAGAAGTTTGAGAGGTGAATTAACAAGATATAACTCATAAATGACATCCATTAGACATGGCATGTGGAACTAGAACAATCTACATCAGTGAGTGAAATAAAGGATTCAGTTTGACATTCCAACTACCTGAAGTGGCCGAAACATGTTAAATATGGCAACAAAGATGAGGACAATAGTCCAAATAATGTAAGTAGTATATATGTATATATGTGCAAGTTTCATTGCATATGACAGACAGGGTGCTTTGATTAAAGTTTTTATATAATTTCTTATGTGAACTCATAATTTTTTTTTCTTTTCCATAGATAAATTATACAAAAACTGTTCCAATGTTGTTATTTTTTGAGCACTTTTGGCTATACATTTAGCCATTTTCAAGGTTGAAATATATTAACTGTTAACTAGAAATAGATTGTCATAGGTATGCATTTATATAATATTTCCATTTTCAAAACATGCTAAACATTGTGTGTCCATGTTTATTTAGATAGTTTTTGTATAATTTATCTACTGAAAAGAAAAATATTATAAGATTACATGAGAAATTATATAAAAAACTTAAAGCACTTGTCTGTCATATTTAATGAAACTTGCATAAAATAAGGATTGCTGCCTAAAAACACAATCAATATCTACATATCTATATCTGTATATATATATATGTGTGTGTGTGTGTGTGTGTGTGTGTGTGTATTTTACAGAAAAATTAGGTATATAGCAGTGAAAAACAAAAAGTAGTGCACAAAATGTATTATACTGATCATATGAAATGCACCGACATATCAATAATAATGTCTTCCAACACTTTTAAAATCTATTTGCTCTTTTCAAATGTTAAATTACAAGACATCATAAAATCACTACTTGCAAAACATTTATTATTATTGTTTATTAAAAAATATAAATTTTAATAAATGTATTATAATAAAAATGAATCTTAGAACCATTATTACAATACTGGCATAATAATTACTGTATACCTACTTTCATATCCCCATATATATATATATATATATATATATATATATATATATATATATTTTTTTTGAACAATAAGAAAATTAAAATTAAAAAATTAAAATCGTTAGACACACTGGGTTGTAGATTAATATTCTTTCGTTTTTTATTATTATTATTATTCCATTTAAATCCCTCGACTAGTTTCGACCGAAATGGCCATCATCGGGAGGCGAAATATTTCTGCTTGCTGTTAGCAAGGAACTACAGAAATGAATGTCTTTTGTTGGAGAAAATGAACTTTTGTCTGTAGTTTTCATTTGTTTTTTGTTAGCCGAAATGGCCATCATCGGGAGGCGAAATATTTCTGCTTGCTGTTATATATATATATATGTGTGTGTGTGTGTGTGTGTGTGTGTGTGTGTGTGTGTGTGTGTGTCTATATATATATATATATATATATATATATATGTTCAAACATGTTTGGTTAAATCATTTAGACATATTATGTCTGTTTATCTTTGTTTTAATCGTTTGGTGTCCACAAATGTGTAAACAAATTGTCCAAAATTCCCAAGATTTTGATTCACATAGGTCATCATCACTTGATAAAAGAAAATTAAATCCTTTTTAAGAAGAAATTTCATCCATTATTATTTGATAGCATCATTATTGCTTGAAAATTAAATCAAATTCAGCTTAAAACATCAGGTTGAGGGATAA